CGGTCAGCCATGTGACAGGTTCTCTCACTCCAATGGAGAAGGACTTTCTTTCATAGTAGTATCCAAACTATGGTGAGCTGAAAAGCTATCACCAGTAAGGACTACAGTCAAGAGTCTTCAAGTGATTGGTTATGAATCTTTATTTTTGGGTTTCGGTTTTGTTTATATAGGGTTTACAATTCTTTACAGTTCTTGGCTTAACGTAATTAACCTATTAGTCAGAGTGAGACAACTGGAGTAGCGTGCCTGGAAAATGCATCTTCGCTAGGTCGGCAATTTCGGTGCCCGGTGGTCCTACCCAGTTGTGCAATATGACGCCTATCGGTATCGAGACTGCATTGGCATGGGTCGAACGGTCGAACACGAGAAGAGAGAGAGAGTGTAAATAATTGTGTTCTAACGCCGTGGCGCAACCGGCACATTTGGTCGCGTTTGGCTATGCGTAATATGACCTGTGAGTTTTGGTTCAAGTGGAATGACTTGCTGTGCTTACATGGAGGTTTTTGACTTGTACTTATTTATGGGTTGAAGATGTAGGGATGCACATCACACTTGCTATGACCGTTCTTATCTTACCCAGGTTTTGCACACAAGACTTCCCTCCAACCCTGCAGTTTGACCAAATTTTGGTGAGAATCTTGTAGTCTGTATTCAGCAAACTGATCGGTCTATAGTTCTGCAAGTCATTTCGATCCTTCAACTTCGGAATTAAAATGATTATTCCCTTCGCAAAGTTTTCTTGCATAGGAATGGAGCCATCCAAAAATCCATTTAAGAGACGCAATAGATCTTGTTTGAGAGAATGAAAGTGTTTCTCGTAAAATTCGTAAGTTAGACCGTCAGGCCCAGGTGATTTCTTTTTTGTTGCATTTTGAATAGTTACGCGAAGCTCCTCTTCTTCTATTGGTGACACAAGGTTGATTCCAAGATCTCGAGGTAACGATTTGCGAACGTGCTGAAGCGCAGCATAATCTGCTTGCTGGTTTTGCGGCTTCCGGAACTGTTCCTCAAAGTGATTATGTACTAATTGCTTTGTAGTTAGACCATCTGGTGAGTGCAGACTCATCACTGGTGTGTTGTGACCGCGTTTTGCTAATTTCGAAACTTGATATATGCTCAATTTTTCGCTTTCAAGCATTGTTGACGGTTGCACCTTTCCGCGGAAACTGGAAAGACGTTGCTCTTCGGCATCGACGATAGCAGACTTGACCGCGTTCATCCTATCCAGCACGTTTAAACCTTTTGCTTGCTGTTCCATCAATTTGTTTAGCTTATTGTAGTGTTTTGCCTTCTTCCTTGCGTTAGTTTGATTGAACTCATAAGACTTGTTCTTGTAGTAATGTTTTACCTTGCTTTTGAAATCGTACGACCACCACTCCGAAAAGTTCATCTCGTGTTTGCTACGTTGCCTTAGCTCTGCCAAGACTCAAATGAAACCTTCAGATGTGCCTTCATCCTTGAGTAGAAAATCGTTTATCTTCCAATGGCTCCTTCCAAGGATGGGAGTGGCATCCTGTAGGTTGATTTCAAACGTAAGCACTAAATACCGCGTGATGATCAGAGAAGGGCACTGGAAGAGTCTCGTACTTTTTAGCTCGATGAACAAAATCTTTGTCACAGTAAAATCGTCTAATCGGGAGCCAGAATTATGCTTCAAGAAGGTGTATTGGCGGCCTGCGGATCCCAAATCCTCTAGCTTAAACAGGTTTACTAGAGTGCGCAGCCCTTTGCAGCAGCTCTTGTTTTTACTTTTGCTGTCTAACGTATCCAGGATGCAGTTAAAGTCCCCTCCCAAGATCATCAAATTTCCTTTGCTTAAGTGCGGGGATATCATATTTTGAAAAAGATCATCCCTTTCGACATTGTATTGCGTCCCAGAGTGACCATAAATATTCACTAAGTTCACTCCGTCGACAACAACGGAGATGATGCGTCCAGATGGGTCCATCATGATCTGCTCGAAAGGAATAGTTTTCCTTATAAGTATTGCTGTACCAACGTTCTGCTCACTACGGTTGACAATTGCGTAATGTGAAGGCAGAAAGCTAAAATCATTGAACGACACTTCTTGCAGGAAAACAGCATCCAAATCGTGGCGTATGATGAATTCCTTGAGCAAATGTTTTTTAGAGTCCATCGCTATAGCATTAATATTCACAGTACAGATTTTCTTTACGTAATTCATCTCTTTGTTTACAAAGTATCGAGTATTCAGTAACGGGTGTTACGTATTATCGATAAAGAAGGTCCGTTTGACGTTGCTTGCCAATGTCGTCATATGTCAAAGTCAGCTGATCTCGATTGTCACTAACACTTCCGAAGATCAGCCTTGCTTACCTTCACACCACTTCGAGAGCGTGATCGATTCGTCATACTTCGAAGTGATCTGGAACTTTTAGATCTAGCTTCGCTACTGGACCTGAATCCTGAATCCTGAATCTGCTTCGGGCTGGACACCCCGGCTGAGGTCCCGTTTGTCAACGAAACTAACCTGACCATTGACAGCTCCAAATTGCTACTGTTTTTAGACGATGATGCCGCTCCCTGAACGGCTCCAGCATAGGTGTCATTGCAAGGTACGTCCACCTCTTCCTTTTGGCTAGCTTTAGCAGCCGTCTTCTTCATTTTTTCCGCTTCCTGCTTTGCTTCCATATCCTTTCTTGATTCTTGCTGTGCGTTGTTCTGTGGACATTTCACTTTCAGGTGCCCTTCCTGCTTACACAAAAAACACTTCTGTCTCAGTCCCTCGTAGTAGATTCTCCCTCGGCGGTTGGGGAAATGGATGATTGATGGGATGTCCTTTTTGATGTCCATATACACCCCACGGACACCGGTAAAGAGATCTAGCTCCAATTCCGCCGGGAACTTCTCACGGATCATGCGTTTCACGGTTCCATACTTTCCGAGTACCAACGATACGTCAATATCCGATATCTCCGGGGTGAGATCGAAGATCCTCACGTAGCGGATACACCCTCCAGCGACCGTCATATGAACTTCCACGGATTGACCATTGGAATAGTGGAACGTATGAACCTCCGGGTTGTGCAGGAGAGCCTCCTTCATTGCTCTTTCAGATCTGAATTTGATGCAAACAACCCTTTCATCGGAAAGTTTGTAGTCTGTTTCCATTTCTGCTTTGTCCGCATCAAACCCTTTGACAAATCGACCAATTTCTACAACGGTGGGTCCAGGGGCTCCATCCGGGAACTGAAAATTCAGTGTGTTCTTGACGATTCCACTGGACATCTTTTTGTTTTCCTTTTCCTTACAAAGGTAGCCGGTTAGGGCTGACAAGGAAACACACACGAACGGTAGCTAATTATATGACTTTCAGCGCGGCGATTGTACAAAAGCGTCTTCTCGCAATGAGAAATGATCGTCAACTGAGGGTTAGGAACTGAATTTTGAAATATGAAAATTGAATTTATTTAAGGATATTGAACGTCGCCTAATTTCAAAACTTGTAATGTTTGTTGATTTTAGAATAAAACATTTAAATCGTTTACCCTAATTAATATTAAATTGGGAAAAACAAATCAATCTCGTAGTCCTGCGTCAATAATGCGGTTGTTCTTGGGACAGAACCCTTAACTTTTTTTTTGTAAATTATATGCCACGTTCGGGTTAAAACTGTAAGCTGCCTTTTGATGACTTCTGAATCAAAAGTCTCTTGGATTCTGCAGTAAATAATTCAAATCATGATAGGTTTTCGTTTTTCATCCGATGTCGTGAAATATTTTAATAACTTTTCAAAACAAAAATCGTACACTACAAGTTTTCATCAAATGGATTTAGAAAAACGGCATTTGAACCACACAGGTAGGGTATAGAATTTGAAAAAAAATGTCCATAATACTATTTTTGCAGATGAAATTAGATTCGGGAGTTTTCGAATGGATGTGAAAACTATCGTGGGTCAATGAATTACCATGCTGGTATTTTTGTTACGTATCTGCGCTTTCAACGTTCGCATAATTATCAAAGAAATACCAGCTTTATTTTCACGAAATTCCTTTTTATTTTAATCCAACTCTTTCACTTTGTCCCAATTAAAGAGGTCCTCTCCGATTTCTAACCGTCATTAGCAAACTTCTGTTAAATCTCCTTCTTTTCCAGTCACAAGAAACCATTGTTAATTTTGGGACCGACTAAAGTTTCTTCACTCAGAAAAGAAAAATCTCCTTATCCCTTTGTAATGATTGTTATTATTTACCAATTTCATCCAGATCAACAATTCTTATGCGAATTTTCAATAAGGTAAACGCTCCTATAGTTGTGCTACGTTAGAAGCGTTAGGTTCCATTAGAAGCGTACCGCAACTACAGGAACATTTACCCTTCATGTTTTTTTCGTCCCATTTTGACCTGCATGGATTTACCACTTTCCTTTACCTTTTTCCGCTGACTGGTGGAGTACGTGCACCGAATTTCATCGGCATCGACCGGAAGCTGGAACACGACGACGACGACGACCGTGGATCAGCAAGCAATACACAATGGAATGTCAATATTAATCTGTTTTTCGGTCCCCGTTTTCTTTCTCCTCCCATCAGCAACAATGCTGAGCAGTTCGATGATGGCAACAGCAAATGGCAGTATCACTGGATAAATGTGAACGAGCGTGTGTAGGTGGTGGAACATGGTTTTCAAATTTCGAGTGTCGACAGAAAAAAAAGAGCATAAGCGGTACATCAAATACCTAACCAAAGAGAACAAATCGTCGTCTGGGGAGAAATTACCGTTGAAATTGAAAACAATTTCGTGGTGAAACAGAAACTTTGAAAGCTATGGCGATTAGTTGGAAACGGAACGAAAGCTGCTCGGTGCTACCTGGTTATCATTGGGATGATCAATAAGGGAGGGGGTGGTTTTCGAATTTCATGTGTCAGCAGGAAACCAAAAACAAAGAATGTGAAGCAAGTTGTGATGGGCACGACTGAAGAAGACTGTGTGGCGGAGCGCAGGTAGGAGATGTGTGATGGCAACGACCGTACTTACCTATTTTCGGACCAAGATCCTTTGTTTTCGCCTGGTTCATGCGGCGAGCCATCGGACCCGAACCGGGCATACCCATAGCTCCCGGTTGTCCTGGAGGCGGGTTTTCGTTCATTAGTTCGTTCGTATCAAGCGTGAAGGTGAAGGCGATTGGCGTTGGCGTGGTGGTCATTTTTGGTTTTTTGATTTGGCGTGAATACATTTAGTGGAGGCACGTGATAGGACGATGAATGGCAGGACGTTATAGTTTTTTTTTTGTTTTTGGCATGATTAGTGATTGACGAGGGAAAAAAAGAGAAAAGAGAAAAACGGATTCTTTTTTATTGCCAGACGAGGTGAAAGAGCTGCTGTTCCACGCGAAAGGGTAATTCGATAGTTGGGGCTAATTAGTGGCCTTTGACTGAGTCAACAGATGGCCGGGAAAAAAGAGTCTTCGCTGACGACGGTGGGCGATGAGGATATCGTATTGCTTTTCTATGTGCTGAGAAAGTACTCACCTGTGACTCGGGGTGCTCGGAGCTGTTCAACCGGTATTATCCGTCGGCGTTTTTTCGGCAATTTGGCTCGTGCTTGCGTGTGCGAGTAGTACATGGCGAAGTTACTCACTATGACCGGCACCGGAAGTGCAATCGTTAGCACACCGGCCAATGCACACAACGCTCCGACAAACATCCCGATGTAGGTTTTCGGTGCCATATCGCCGTAGCCAACGGTGGTCATTGTGACCAGAGCCCACCACAGCCCCAACGGGATGCTGTTGAAATCGTTGTGCGGATTCGCCTGGATGCGTTCCGCGTAGTAGACCAGGCTGGCAAATATCACGATGCCCAGTACCAGGAAAAACACTAGCAACGTCAGCTCCTTCGCCGAGGCACGAAATGTTTGGATGAGAATTTTCAGCCCGGACGAGTGCCGCGTCAGTTTGAACAGTCTCATGATACGGATGATGGAGAAGAACTCCAGGATGTCGGCGTTCTCCAGATGGGAGGCGAACTTTTGCAACACTAGGTCCACGTAAAAGCTGAGCGTGGCGATGTAGTCAATGATATTTACAGATGAGGTGATAAATTCGCACTTCTGCGGGGACGAGATGAAGCGCACCTGCAGAAAACAAAAAGAAGGAGGTTAAATGCTTCTATTACTAAAATTGAATTCGACGTCATTAGATGGAATACAAGTTTGTAGTGATGAAAAAGCAAAGTGAATGTGAGTGATCGTAAACATTAGCAAACTCACCATAATTTCCAGCGTAAACCACGCGTTGCATACGCACTCGATGTAGAAGAACGCCACGTGCGCATTGGTTTGGGTCTTGTCCAGCACCCAGGCCGTGCTACCGTTGGCCGTTTTGACCGTAATGTTCCGTATCACCGGAACGCGCATATCCGGATGGGTTTTCAGGCAAAAGGACAGAATCGATACGCATATGAAGAAAACCGATATCACACCAACTATCTGCAATGGAACCATGTAAATAACGCACAATTAGTTTAGCTGCTAATTTTGAGGGCAACACACATACTTTGGCAGCATTCGAACTGTACGGTTCATCGAACAGGGACCAAATTTGCGGTTTCATGAGCTGCCACCAGGAAACCGTCCCGTTGAAGTAATCATCCTCGTAGCCAAATTTCCGGGCCAGCTCCTCTTCCGTGGGCTTCTCCGTGTCCAGGTCCAATCGTTCGAGGACGGCCAACGTTTCCTGCGTGTCACGATGCTGAAAATAGGCATAATAGGGAAACAGTAGAAGCTTATTACCATCCCATGAATTCACTAATTTAGATCTAATTTATTTTGCGCTGTTTCATGTTTCATCGAAAGAAGTAATGGATTTAGGTCATTACACACCAGCCGGTGGTCTCCAGTTATCGTCACTGGTGATGGCTATCGATCCACAGGAGAGCCAAAAATATGTGCAGACAACATGCCTTCTCCACCACGATGTCGGTCTGTGGTCACACACACGTGTCGTCGATTCGTAAATGTTTTATCTGACTGCGTTCTTAGTCCCGTATTTTTCGCTCAGGGAAAAAAAAAGCTTTATTCATGTGTCGACAGCAACAGCGTAGCAACAGACAAGACATCCTTTCCAATTTGGTTTGGTACTCTAGTGCCAGCTGACCGAGATCATAAATTCTCAGCGGACGGTCCCTCTGCAATCACAAACTCAATAAATCATTACCATACGGTGGAGCAATGTGTGTTGACTAGGCTTCCCTTGGTTTCTGGGACGGGGACTGGGCAAACAGGTCACAGCAAATCGGGGCTGGGCGTCGCGTTAATTTTGTATGATTTATGTATTTAGGCTTTTGTTTTACGCCACAATAGCTTATTTTTCGATATCTTTTGAAACAGTTGTTAAAGTTATCTATGGGATGTTATTATGGAAAGCCCTTTAAGAGCATTGAATCAGAACTTCAGTTAAGGCTAGCTGCAGGCGGTGGTTCCAAATCCCAGTCTGTTCTAGTAATTCATTCGAGTTGGAAGTTTTTTCGACTTCCCTAGGTTTAATGCTTGCAACACTGCACAGTGGACAAGGAATTAAATCTAGCAGGAAAAAAAATGACGCTCTGGGATTGCATCCAATTGAGTTAAGGTCTTTAGTAAAGTTTCTTGAATTAATTAGGACTACGATTTGATAGATACAAATAGATCAAGGTTTGGCCGCAAAGATGGCGCAGCGATAAAAGCTTTTTAATTTTGCAAGATAGATATTTGCTGTCTTTCGCATGCTTGTAGAACGTAAAATTTTAAAGACATAAAAGCTGTACATTTTCGAACAACTGATATATACGAAGTTTTATAAAATTTTCCTGAAATTCATGTTTTGAGTATAATATTTTGATCGTTCAAAAGATTTTGACGTTGGATAACGTCTTTCGGCAACATACGGGGGTACAAAATTGAAAACAGTCATTTTGGATGAGTTACGAAAAATTAAAAAATTTTGAACGATAATAACTCAACCGTCTCTCGATAGATTTACGAGATAATGGCATCAATCGATTGGAAATATTTCTAGAAATTTGCTGAATATTTCAAAACTATTGATTTCATTCTGTAAACTATTGAAAAATGGTTAAAAGTAAACCATTGTCTAAAGATGGTGAAAATCGATTGATTTTTTTATATTCTTATACTTTCTCCAACCGAGACATCAGATGCGAGTATCTGACACCTCTGATATTTTCTGTTCTACTATATAAGCGTCCAACAAGGTCGCCCGTTCCATCGATTAGCCAAGCCGGTTGCCGTCAACGACCTGAGTTCGGACCACCAACCGGTGCTGACCGAGCTGGGCTACAACGTGGCCCCTGCACCGTGCCAGCGGAAGGACTACCATCGAGTCAACTGGGTCCAGTTTCGACGCGTGGTCGACCGCCACATCGACGACAACCCACCGCTCGACACAGTGGATGACATCGACCGGGCCCTGGAGGGTCTCCATCAAGCCATATCCGTGGCTGACGAAGAGTGCGTTCGACGAGTTCCTGTGAGGGGTAAGTTTCAAGCAATTGATTCCCACACCAAACTCTTGATTCGGCTCAGAAATGTTCGTAGACGCCAGTTTCAGCGGACTGGGGATCTGCAGCGTAAATACGAAATGGTCGATCTGAATCGGCAGATCGCTTCCAGAATGGTCTCAATCCGGAACGAGAGTTTCGGGCGGCTCGTTCAGAACCTGGACGACCGTTCCAGACCATTCTGGAAGGTTGCCAAGGTGCTGAAGTCTCACCCCAAGCCCATTCCACCACTTAGAGTCAATGACGAACGGCTTATCACCAACGAAGAGAAGGCCAATGCAATTGGGGAGCACATTGCCCAGTCGCATTTGCTTGGCTCTACAATCCCAAGTCCACTCGAGAACCAGGTTGTGCAGTGCGTCCAGACGTTAGATGCCTCCCCTTGTGCCGTCCCTCGAGAAGAACGGATTACAGAGGAACAAATTTGCTCAGCGCTGAAACACAGTACGAACATGAAGGCTCCCGGGTTTGACGGAATATTCAACCTAGAGTTGAAAAATCTCAGCGCGAGGGTGCACTTGCTGCTGGCTGCCATCCTCAACAGATGCTTGGAGCTGCACTACTTTCCAAGCATCTGGAAGGTGGCAAAAATCATCCCGATCCGCAAACCTGGGAAAGACCCTTCACTACCGTCAAGCTACAGACCGATTAGCCTGCTCTCAGCGCTGAGCAAGCTGTTCGAAAAATTGATCCTCAGCCGACTAAACAAGTTTGTGGAGGAACATGACATTCTTCTTCCGGAACAGTTCGGGTTCCGTAAGGGGCATTCCACCAATCATCAGCTAGTGCGGGTGATGAATAACATCCGGAGTAACAAAGCTGTATCCAAGTCCACAGCCATGGCCTTGTTAGACGTCGAAAAGGCGTTTGACAATGTCTGGCACGACGGACTTATATACAAGCTTTGTAACTCCAACTTTCCACCATACCTTGTGAAAATCACCCGTAACTATCTCCAGCAAAGGTCGTTCAGGGTGTCGTTGAATAGTTCCCTTTCGGGACAATTTCCGATCCCAGCAGGTGTTCCGCAAGGGAGTCTGCTGGGACCACTGCTTTACAGCATCTACACGTCGGACATCCCTCCTCTAGGAGACGGTTGCGTGTTCTTTCTGTTTGCAGATGACACCGCGATAGCTGTCAAGGGTAGGATGCCTCGTGAAATTACGAACAAGCTCCAACGATGCCTTGACACCTTTACTGATTATGCCACCACGTGGAAAATCAAAATCAACGCCTCGAAAACCCAAGCGATCATGTTCCTTCACAGACAATCATTAAAACTTAAACCGTCTCCCTCCTGTACCGTAATAATGGATGGTACAAGGGTCGAGTGGTCCACTGATGTTACTTATCTCGGGATGTTGTTCGATGAGAAGCTCCTGTTCCGCTCGCACATAGAGAAAACCCTAGTTAAGTGCTCCGCCTTGGTTAGGTGTTTGTATCCGCTCATTTACCGCAGATCCCGCCTCTCAAGGCAAAACAAACTGGCTGTTTACAAACAGATCATAGCCCCCGCGATCTTCTATGCCGCCCCGGTGTGGGAATCGTGCGCTCAGACCCACAGGAACAAAATCCAGGTTGCACAGAATAGAGTGTTGAGGATGATCCTAGATCGTCCATTCGACACAAGAATAGCAGACCTCCATCAAGAGGCAGAAATTCCCAAAGTAGATTCCAAAATTGATGATATGACAACTAAATTTATTCAAAAATGCAATCTTTCTGAACATGCTTTAATAAGCAATTTGTACATAGTAGGTTAAGTGTATATAGTAGAGTAGGTTAGTTTTAAGCTGTAAATAGTAGTATTAAGTAGTTTCTCTTCAAATTCTAAAAACAAAACAAACCAATCCCACCAAGGTGGTCGACCGTGTACTAAGTCTAGGACTAATTCTGTAAAACAAATTTTGAATTTTGCCCATACCTAAAGATGAAGAAAGCAATTAAATCACTTAGTAAAAATTTATATGGTAATCGTCCAAGTTAAACTAAAATAAAGATCATTTAAACTAACTTAAACTAAAAAACGCCCGTTCCATCATTGTCTATCCGATCGTCGACCCAGCAGCAGAGCAGCAGTACCAGAGCAGCGGAAGCAGAGCAACGGCAGCAGAGCAGCGGCAGCAGAGCCTGGGGGCGAAAGGGCAACTACGCCGAGCGCGTTGGAAAAATGGCCCTTTTCAGGGCCACAACATTATCAAGAAAGAGTTGAACGATTAATTTTCTAATACCTTTCCGACACTTTTTTCATGACTTTCATCGTCCTCCTGATATTCATGTGATTTTGTGGTGGGATTTTTAGCTATGTGAAATTCACATGGTTTTCATCCATTAGATACCTATGTGGTAAATTTTTTGAGTGTATGCTTCGGCAATCACAATAAAGTTTGCACGATGGAAGCGCACATCGTAAATTTCGTTCATTTTAGTAATAATTAAATTGCCTCTCTCCCCCTACCCTCTGGCAGTACATGAAAAGCCTTTTTGTGAGGGGAATTTTTCAAAAGGATGCCGATTAAAATAATGGGTACCATTTTCTGAGGATGAGATGAGGACGGTTCGTCATCCATATGAAGCGTGTCACGATCATTCCCAAGGATTCGTGGTTAACGCGTCTTATTTCTCTGGTAATACCGGTTAAACTCAATAAGAGGATTGTGATCGACTGGTTCCTCTCAAAATATCTGTTTGGATTTCATCCGAAGTTTCGGTCGCATATACTGTGCCTTTTTGAAGGAATCTCTTAGACTCTATATGTTGGTAGAATGTTCTACTTTAGTATTTTGTGTTCACCTACTAACCAGGCTCGGTTTTATTGTTCTATGCGCCCACAGTATAGGCGTAATAATAATCTAGAAGTATCGCTTCAATACGATTAACCGGTTGGCTAAGCAAAGAAGACCGGAAGTCCCAACGGTAACGGTAAATGTTGAGCAATGAAGGAACAATACAGTTCAGAATCAGTGGTCCGAGGAAAACCTCTTTTGAAGTTACTAGTCAAATCACTCAATTTATTGAAGGCAAGCAGTTTACGTCCAAAGCGGAGAGTAAGGTACATTTACCGGGATCCAGTAAACCGATGTCATTATCAGAAATCACACCACACTTCAAATTGGACGCACACCATGATCATTTCTGAAATCTCAACCGTAATTTGCTAATGAATTTCATTCCGCTGCATCAATGTAGGCCA